TACTGAATTATCCAAGCACGTGTCATTCTGCCAGAAATAAGATAAAAGAGCATTTGAGCCAACCGCTATAAGAAAGTCAACCAGATACAATAACATACCCTCCAGTAGAGTCGATTCAAATGAAGATCTGATTCCATAGTATCATGGACAACTTGAGGCTCTTCACCAAGGACCAATGGTTGCTAGCCACACTACATCAACTGATTAACCCATGTCGACAAAGTTTAGCCGATCAAGCTGATTCCATCGACTTGAAGTTAAAGCTTAGTCGGCCGAGAACAGCGGGATGATAAGCTCACACATGTAAAATATCATAAATACCCTAGTACAGATCCCTTCCAAATAAGGGCAAAAATGTAATATCATCCTTGTATCACTTCCTCTATAAATATGTGGAACATTTTATAAATAGGACAGAATTGTATAAGATTCATTTCTCCCTCTCTCTCTCTCCATCTCTTCTTATTTATACTCTATTCCTACGGCGTGACACACCGATAAACTTGGATTCAACAATATATAGAAATTGAGTGATATGTACGTAAATCTCCCTTCTAAATTTTACATCTCAGCGTAAAAAATCTCAATTTATATTAAGAAATTCAAGATCACCAATGTGCGGCCCAATTGCAACGATTCCGCCATTTTTGGAAGAAAAGTGGGTCCTAAGGCGGTTTTACATCACTTTGAGATGTTTAGGATTTGTTCTATTTATTTTATTTTATTTTTATTTATTTAATTTAATTTGAATCAAAATGTTTGATAAATTAAAATCTAAACCAACCCATAATATATATATACTTCATGGTTTACATATATATATATATATATATATATATATTAAAGTATAGGTGTTAGATATATAAACATATAGGAGTTGAGTCATATGTATGTAGATATTCCTTATTTTAAAAAAGGGATAAAACTAAATTAAAACATTAATTAGAATTTGGATATATTATGGGTTTTAAAACAAACTATAGTATAATTGTTAAAGTTTTGCTTACTTATAGCTATATTATCCTTCTTAAAATTATTAAATTATTTGATAATATTAAAAAAAAAAGATGATTGTTGAATATTGTACATTGATTATATGTTATTAAAGACTAATGAGCTTGACAATCTCCTTCCAAGTTTTAAGTTTTAGGAAGAGCATGACATGGAGTTTTAATGTAACTTATTATATTATCATAAAAATTTATTTTAATAATAAGATATACAAGTTTACTAAAATTTATTTTAATTCTCACATATTTAATTTTTTTAATCACATACCAAATGTGATGTTAAGAACAAATTTTATTATAGATGTTGATTGTACTTTATATGCTAACACTATCAACCTAAAGAGATAAATAGGGATTGATGGCTAACTCAATCAAGATTGTATGATTTTATCATCTCGTGTAGTCATATTGGAACCACTCTACAAATATTAGATTACCTAGAATTGTAACACCCTTAAATTTTGTATGTAGCTATGATTTGCTACCTCTTATTAGTTTTTTGAGTAGAAGGGGGGGTGAGTAGTATGTGAAATAATACTCCATCATAGGATGAAGATCAAAGTTTATCTTAATTAAAAATAACAGAAAGGTGAAAACATAATTAATAATGGTTCGAAGGTGTAATAATGTGGCTATCAATGGTTCAATACCATTCAAATTGATAGGAATTTGAAGTCCCAAAGCATCCCGGTGTATAATTAAAAGGATATGGGACATAATTAAGTCCAATTAAGAGGCATGCATGTCATTATTCAATCAACTATTTGAATGATGATTTGTCATACCCATAAAGGTAGTGCGATGCGCATGTAGTAGTGATAAGTTTTGATGTTATATGATATTTTAAAATAAATCATGGTCAATATTAGACATTTGAATTTGAAGACATACTCAATAATTGGTTCATTTCTTTGAAGGTAATTGAATTACTTGATAAACGACTTTTTTTATCATTGTTATGAGTTACGTTGAGAAGAGTTTAAAGGGCTAAGCTTGACTTCTATGTTAGAACTCATCATGATTAAAAGAGTTACCTTTAGCATAATTGATTGAATTTTTGTAATGTTTGAAATTAAGCTTACTCATGTAGGATGAAATAATAACTTACTAACTTAAAGTTGATTATAATTTGATATTTATGAACTTTATACAATCTTTTTGAATTTAGTAGGCATCATAATTTATATTTGAGAGGAATATCCATACTATTTGATAAATGCAAAGCTTATAAGAATTTGTTCCAGTGCAAATATAGGGCTTTATCATTCATACCTAAATATAATAAAAAACATTGGGTTGTGACTTACATTAATGTCATGATAGTGTATAGATGAGTCCTAAATCATTAAATTTGGTAAAGAAGATTAAAAAAAATGTGTGAATCATATATTTAGCATGAATTTATCATTGTGGTTTGTCTTAGATTAAGAGAAACACCAAAATGTTGGATGTTGTGCCTTAAGAGAGATGTTCTATGTTAACCCATTACAAGATTGTACCTTAAATGGTAAGAATGCCTACTGATGAGACATAAATCTATGAAAAATTCAGAATTTCAAATATAACTTAGAATTCTATGAGTGAGTAAGAAAAGATTTAAATGTCGTATGGGTTTGCTAGCTTTATGACAACTCTAACAAATTATTAGGTCTTACATTACTAGGAAGGCTTGAGGCCAAGAGCTTTATACATAACAAATTAGCTTAATTAGAGAAGTGACACCCTTATGGGGGAAGGCTAAATATAGAATAAAAAATTTTCCATGTAGGATATAGATGGCCCAGAGTATGATTTGGTTTAGGGTTTCTTACAATATAGTATGATGGAAAATGACAATAATAATAAGACTTACAAGTATAAATTTTTGGAAGCTTATGAATTTAATTTACATATTTGAAGTTTATGATTCTCAAGGTGCTATGTATATATGTGTGTTTATTTAGCTTATGAACTTCATACTGACACTATGATGTTAAAAATTTTTACGACTCTAAAAAATAATGAAACCAAGAAGTTCAGATTATTTTATCAAATTTCTTTGTAGGGTCAATCATAAGAAAATGTTTCCATTAAATACTTATATTCATCTCAAGTTTGGGTAGCTAAGAATTAGGTGATACTATGTAAATTATTGCATTTCATAGAACTTCTAATGCCTTCAATAATTCCTAGAATTTGGATTAAGTGTCCCTTTATTACATGAGAGTCTTCGTTAAAAAATTTTACGACTCTAAAAAACAACGAAACCAAGAAGTTCAGATTATTTTATCAAATTTCTTATGTAAGGTCAATCATAAGAAAATGTTTCCATTAAAAACTTACATGAATCTCAAGTTTGGGTTGCTAAGAATTAGGTGATTCTATGTAAATTATTGCATTTCATAGGACTTCTAATGCCTTCAATAATTCCTAGAATTTGAATTAAGTGTCCCTTTATTACATGAGAGTCTTAATCTTTTTCTATCCTTTTAGGAAGCTTATGTGATTGGTTCAATATATTAAGTATAAATTTGAAAATTGTAAAAATGTTATTTTTTGTTAATAAAAAATCTTATACTTTTAATATTTTTGGATATTGAGAGCATATTTTATGAATCCATTTATACAATTAAATATCATAAATACAAGTCTAATGCACATGCTACTTCAAGACATATGAATTTCATAACTATAAAGTATTGATGTTTCTACACTCAAAATAATTTCCTATATATATATATATATATATATA